TTTTAATATCAATTAATATTAAAAAGTACAAAACTATCATTAATTTCATTGCTAATGCCATGCAGGTCATATTAATTAAGTAGTTATTTAAATAAATGTCAATTTGATATTTTTAATACCAATTAATATTAAAAAAACACTACAAGAAAAATGATTTTTAGTAACAGAAATTTGTGATGAATTTTGAAATCATCACCATAACTTATCACAATTGTGACAGATCTAAAAAGTTAGTCACAAATGTATACATATTTAATGATGAACAAAAAAATTCATCATAAAAAATATATTTCGGTACCGAAAAATATTCATAAAGATAAAATAAGCTTTTATCGATAAAAATCATCACTATAATGCATTACAATTATGACAAAATTCTAATGTTGGTCACTTATACCTTACACATTCAATGATGACCAAATAATTTAGAATTAAAAAATATATTTCGTCACTAAAAACTGTCAATTTTCTCTAATTAATGCATCCCACATCAATAAAAAACACATAAGAGAATAAGGTTTTACACTATAAATATATCCCGCATCAACAAAAAATATTTAAGAAAATAAATGTTTGCATTATAAAACATGTGAAACTCAATAAAACTTGAAATTAGTTTGGGCCTGATTAATTTTAATTGGGCTTGATTAATTTTAATCGGGCTTGATTAATTTTAATCAGCTTTGATTAATTTTAATCAAAATTGATTAGTATTGAAATAATAATATTTTTTATTAAACTTTTGTGATAAATTTATATATTATTTTTTTGTGACAAAATTTTTGTTAAAATATTTGTGTTGTAATTATATAAATATCGTTTTTATTTAATATCAATTTGAATAATCAATAACTAAATTTTGCATCATAATTGCATTTGTGACGAATATTTTTTTGTGACGAATAAAATTGTTATAAATAACTTGTTAACAATGTCAATTTTTTGTATCACTATAAAATTATTTTTTGTGACAGGTGCTTAATTTGTCATTAAGAACATTAGTGACAAGGGTTTTACTAACGGTTTAAATTTTATCACTGATAATAATTTGTGACAAAAAATAAAGATTTAATGATCAATAATTTAGTCACTAAATGTGAATTTTCTTGTAGTGAAATACAATAATTGCACTCTTAACAAATTGTGGCTTTAAAAAAATTTAAATTAATTGTTTTAAGAATGGGAAAAAACATGTTATTACTAATTTAAGACATAGGTTAGAAAATTCCTAAATCTAGTTAAAAAAAAAAAAAAGAAAACATGTTATTATTAATTTACCCCTCAATTGTCATTTGGTTTTCAACAATTAGAATTTATCATAATTTGTCATGTAGGGCCCACCTACATTTCACATAAAGTTAAAAATTAAAATTTAGTTAAGTTGTGAGTCCCACTCCAATTGC